CTCACTTCAAAGAGATGGGCTGAAAGCTTTTTGTTAGATTTCACTCCTGCAGAACATAAGGCCAAAAATGCATTTGAATGGAGAAAATCAAGAGTGTGACAGAGCTGTGACCCCACAGATGAGTGAAAAGTGAATTTCAAAGTTTGCTGAGCATCTGACAGCAGTCAAGGGAATACAACTTTCAAACGCTATGCTTTTTTTTTTTTTACCTAGTTTTAAAGGGGACCAAGGAAGTTTTGGCTTGCTTTTTAGAACACCCTAGTGTCCAATTGTATCACCAAAAGCAAAACGTATCTCCCTGCTGTGCGTCCATATTTTTAACACCTTAATCTAACAACTGAAACATCTCCCAGCCTTCATTTGTGTCTACAGGAGTGATTCATCAACTGAACTAGGGGGGCAGCAGTAGCTCAACAGGTTGAGCAGGTTGTCCTGTAATCAGAAGGTTGCAGGTTCGATCCCGGCTCCAGACAGAGAATTCTGCTGTTGTGTCCTTGGGCAAGACACTTTGACACTTAGATTGTGATCTAAAAAATGCAGGAAATGTGCTGGAGCCAGACTGCAATACCAGGTAGGTAAGTCCCAACAGAGCATATGCTGGCCACGGGGGGCAATAGGGGCTAGGTGGCTGTTTGTTAACCCTGCAAAGGGTCTTTTTAGCACAAACTGGCTCAAGAAAATGATTTTAAAATATGGAAAAAGTTGCAAAGTATCCCTTTAAAAGCAGGTCTAATTTTTTGAATAAAGCTGAATTTAAACAATTTCTCAACAAGATTTCTACCGTGAAAAGATATTACTTTCATTGAAATATCTGTCTATTTTCTCTAAAACACAGTAAAACATACAAGTAACAAAGCAAAAATACTTGTACCGATGCTATGATCATTATTGCAAAGAATGAATTGCAGTTCACTTCCTCTGTTACAAGAGCTTTGTACTTCATTAACAAAGTTTAGGTATTTCTATTCAAACAGACCAACAAAGTTAGTTCAGTTACGTATTGTCATTTGTTGTCTTTAACTATGGGATTTTCATAATGCTGAAAACAAAAACCTGTAATACACTAAGTCAATATGTTCTGTGCCTCTATTACAATCAGGTTCTTTCATATTAATAAAGGTGACTTCATATAAATTTAAAAGCAGTGATTTTATTATGAAAACAGCCAAGCTGCATTGCATGTTCTTTTGAGACAATACATGTTATTTTAGTTGTGAATCTGCATCTAAATTTTTCTAATTATATCACCAAGCACACTGGTTTAGACAGATGCTACTGGAACAACCTAAATAAAAATGAAAAATTGGTGACCCTTTTTTTTAAACCATATAATGTATATTTTGGTCTCAGAAAAAAATGATATTGATGCTAACTTGGGACAATTTTTTACACTTCCATTATATTACCACTTAAAGTAGATGAAACTGGATGAAAATAAACTAATAAAATAAAAATCTGACATTGTTTTTAATTGTGATTTTAGCAGATCAATAAAAAACAAAGAAACAAGTACCAATAGCTTTAACCACATTTGCATTAAGGAAGGCTCATCATTATGGTTCTAGGAACATTTTGTTAAAGGTTTAACTTGAACCTCGTTAATGACAGCTGTGGTGGCTACTTTAAGATTTCTAAAGGAACAGTAATGCTGTTAGTTATCAAATGCCTATCTGTGCGAGAGAAAACAGGAAATAATGACAGCTGTATTTTAAATAACATCAATTTAACTCATAAACAACAGCTGTAATAACTTCAGATTTGATTGCACACCTGTACAAGTGTTTTGTTTTGGTATTTACAGCTTTTTTTTTTTTTAGATTTTCATTTACTTTGGTTTTTTCAATTATTTCAACATTTTGATTTCCTTTGGAAATAAAAAGTACCTGTATTCTGAATTTAAATCAGTTACAATAAATTGAATTCTAAAGGTTTTTGAAATACATAGGTGTGTTTCAGAATTTAGATGTGCCTTTAAAACACCAAAGTCCACCCATCCATCAATTTTCAACCGCTTATCCAGAGTCAGGTCGCGGGAGCAGCAGCCGAGATGCCCAGACTTCTCTCTCCCCAGCTACTTGGGCCAGCTCTTCCGGGGGAATCCCAAGGCGTTCCCTGGCCAGCCGAGAGACATAGTCCCTCCAGCATGTCTTGGGTCTTCCCTTGGGTCTCCTCTCAGTTGGACGTGCCTGGAAAACCACACCATGGAGGCAACCTGACCTGATGCCCGAGCCACCTCAACTGGCTCCTCTCGACGTGGGGAAGCAGCGGGTTTACATTTGGACATATAAAACAGCAAATGGTGTTCAGCACACTCTTGTTTACTCTGGCAATGCGGCATTCTGGTATTTGATGGACATGGCTTAGGCATGATACCCAACGGGAGAGGTGACTGTGTTTGTGTTTAAAAGTAGGGATGTCCCGATCAGGTTTTTTTGTCCTCGAGTCCGAGTCCAAGTCGTTTGATTATGAGAATCTGCATAGCAGAAACTACCGTTGTTAAAAGAGATGTGTCTAACTTTGAAAATGTTGGCACAATTTTAATAGTCAAAAACTCCAGCGAACCATTAGTTCATTTTGCTTAAATAGAAATAGAGGCCTGCCTCTAATTCTGGTCCTCCTTCCAATAAAGGCCTGGAGCTTGATGAGCTTGAGCCAAATACAGGCCCGGGCCTGTATTAGAGAATTTACGGTATATAAATACTACATGCTGATAAATTATTGCTTTATACAGGTACAAACGTGTAGTGGGATAAATCTACCTACATTTTGTTTTTTTAAGAACGTTGTTTTGTTTTCTTGGTTTTTATTTTCCTATCTTCCTGTCCTGTCTGTCTCTGATCTTCCTGCATCACCCAGTCCTCCAGAAAAACTCCTGTCTGCTTCCTTCTTTTTCACCTCACAAGTAACTTTTTAACTAGCAGATCAAATTGATCTATTGACCGCAAAAAAAGCGGAGTGTGCGCTGCCCGGCTGCGCCAGTGACGAGCCTGCAGCGGGGGCAGCGCGAGCGCGTCCACACGTCATGCTCAAATACAGACAGAACTTACCAGAGAGAAAATTAACAGACACGAATGACTGTGTGTTAATTATATATTTTTTGGTGACGCCACTTAAAAGATTAGAAAATGTTACTGTGGCCGTGTGCAGAACGCAGCTGTAGTTCATGAATAATCAGCGGTCTGCCTGCATCTCTGCTCAAAAGAATCCCTGCTACGCTGAGTCCATATAAATAATATAATATAGGTAGAAACTGGATCTCTTTTGTGCTCCTTCTGGGTGTGTAAGTTAAGGGCATCAGGGGAGTCTGACAACCTTTAAGGAGAACCAAGTTGCTCTCCTGTACTTTGAACCCAGTATCCGAGTCCAGATCCGGGCTTGGATCATGAAGTAAAGCCCGAGTCTTGATTGAGTCTGAAACCAAGTGATCAAGCCGATTTCTGAGCATGTGATCGGATCGGGACACCCCTATTTAAAAGTTAGCTAGTTTTGTAGATTTGCTGATGCAGATTTAAATATTTTTAGTATTTGGGATTTCTACACAGAGATAGTTTTCCTTCCTACTAACGTTGATTCCTCAAGGCTTAACTTTTCTAGCTTACAGCAACAGTGTGAAGTGGCTCTGCAGGTGACTATAGAAAACTGAGTGTTCATGCTGTAATGGCAACCTTATTGAAAACAACATATTTTTTCTAACATGTTGCTTCAATCTCCAAATCCAAGCAGGAGCTTGGTTGCACTAAGACAGGACAAATGCACACAACTGAGAAGCCGTACATGAAAACAAACCACTTAAAGCAATGTCTGACAGTGAGCATGTAAACTCCTACTTTTGATTTTATTTGGTGCTGGAGAAAAAGCATGGCCATAAATTCAAAGTGAAAGCACCTCACAGCTAAGCCCCTTTTCATTTTGCCTGACATTACAGGATGATGAATACCTGCCTGACCACTACAGACACAAACTAGATTAAACAAGTAGTTTCCTAGCTCCCTGCAGAAAGTCATCTCTTTTTACAGAAGACGTTTCAGTCTTTCAACATGTACAGAACCACAAATGTGCACTGCAGGTGATTCTTGAGTCTGTGGTGGCAAATGGCATTTACTACACTAAGGTCTACAGGAGGAACAGCCTGGGGGTGTACACCAACACCACCAGACAAATCAAACCGATTCAGCTGGATGGAGGGGAACCATCTATGCAGTGAAGGATGTCAGACCTGCCCTTCATCACCAACAGCATCTCCCTAACCTCTAAGTAGAGCTCTGGAAATTCAACCTGACCTGCAGCTGAGGTGGACAACCTACTAGTGGTCAGACAGGATTACAATTCTGCAACACATTTAAAATATTTACATCTTCTACATTGTGCTGTCCGTTTAAATTTAAATGTCTTTTTGAAATTATTTCTAACTACTGTCACACTGTTTTCTATCACACGCTAAAATAAATAATAGCCATGTGTGTGTGTGTGTGTGCCATCACCAGAATGTGAGTTTCTAACATAGTCATTGTGCTTCACAAACATTTGCAGGAGTTTTTAGTACTAGGCTAAGTACTAAAGGGGTGAACAAATCCAATCACACAAACAAATTCAGCCTTGTCTTTGATCGCAGCCCAGTGTGCTCCCATTTTCCAATTAAAAGTGTCCTTTCTTTTACATTCATAAGACCTGTACTCCCCAATATTGTGGCAGGGCAATATTACACAGACAAATTATTGAGTGTAACAATAAGATATTTCATGAAACATGAACGCTGTGAAAAGAAAATAATTACTTTCCTTGTTTCCAAGTACCTGATCTCATCAGCAGTAAAACAAGGATGCATGGATGCTAATAAAAAAGGAAAAGGTTTTACAAACCAACCATCTATTCATGGCAAGATGTCAAGGGACTTTTAAAATGTCAAATTATTTATTGTGGCGTGGCCCGGAGAGGTGTAATTAACCTGTTAGACATGATGGTATGAAAGAGAAAAATTACAAAAGAAACAAAAAGCTTACCATCATCTTCTCAAAAAGGTCATTGATTTCTTTTTCTGAGAGGTTCATGGATCTCTCGTCGAAAAACGGCTGCGGGATGGGCAGTTCAGCTTGGCCAGAGCTGGAATCCGTTGGGTGTTGGATAAGAGGTTTCTCCTTCTTCCCTCCTGTTTTCCTGAAACTTGTGATACGATCTCGCTGAAAGAAAACAACATGTGAATAATTTAATATTGCACTGTTAACTATCTATCTTCAGACGAAGCGGTGTAAATGGGTTAAAAAAAAGGGCTTGATTTAAGATCTTTGTAGCATGACGGTTGTACTGAATCCTGCTATGAAGACTCAGTTCACCACTGTTTACAGTAATTGGTGATATCCTGATTGTGAAGAAAGGTGAGAATGTGTCACTGTTAACGAAAGAGAAAGCTAAAACAAGAGTCAAAATGGAAAATTATCTTCTTCATTCATTTTTAATTCTTAATTCAAGAAAAACAGAATACAAAAACATCTGCAAACAGAAAATATACCAGAATATTATGTAAAACTAATCAGGTCATTACTTACCGCAAAATCTTCCATATTACCTGATTTGAACTCATGTTTATAAAGTTAAAGCAGCAATCTGGAGTTTTCTCCCTTTCTGAAATTATGTGTGATTTTTTTTTAGAAATCCATAAAAGTGATCGTTAAAGGCAATACATCAATTTTTGGGGGCTAAGCTCGACCCATGTCCTGTAGAATCCCATGCAATATGAATTGAGTACCACTCAGCATTAGCCAATAGCGTTAGATATCTGCTTGTGTACAGAAGTCGTCACAGAGCGGGCGCGAAGATTTGAGGATGTACCTAGATTGATGCAAGATTTTTTAAGTCTAATTATATGTGTGTGTGTGTGTGTGTGTGTGTGTGTGTGTGTGTGTGTGTGTGTGTGTGTGTGTGTGTGTGTGTGTGTGTGTGTGTGTGTACATATGCATATATATATATATATATATATATATATATATATATACACACACACACACACACACACACACACACACACACAAAACATGAACAAACAGCATAAGGTGAGAATATTAAATGTAAAACAATGTATTTTAGCTCTGTTGGCCGACTAGAGGTGCACATTCACGAATGAGAGGCGGTGCTTTCGGCCATGATCACGGAAGTAGTGAGAGCAGGGTATATACAGGAATCCTAGAGCTGGATTTACAACCTTTTACTACCCGTTTTACTACATTTAAAATATGTTTTACAGCCAACACCACATCAAGCAGCAGCCTTTTTAATGGGGGGGGGGGGGGGGGGGCACTGACTCACGCATGATGATGGCCCATCCCTCATCCAGGACAAATAACATCGTGGCTACAAATAGATTTGGAGCAAAGTAACTAATTTACTTGAGTAACTTTTTGTGTTGTATTTTGATTTTTACTTATTGTCAGAATCCCTGTCCTGCATGCTCACTGGCGTTTTGGTTTTGTTGGTTCATGAGCGCGTGTTAACGGGTCTGACACAAACGTTCACTCCTGCTGTATTTTTTTACCGACTACAGGAAGCAGGACATGCAATCGGCCCGCTGATCTACTGGTTTTATGAGCTGCAACACGATAAATCAAACAATTGACTGGAGTTCTGCCAGTCCAAACAGCACGTCAGCCCAGCTGGTAACGAGTATAGCTGATAGCCAGTCCGTCCCTGCCTATGACCGGCTCAAGCCAGTCTTTAAATTCTGGATCATTGAGTCAAAGTTGGGAAAACTTTTCCCATCACGAGGTGGAAAGTTGCTTGCTAATGCTATCGTCATGAACCGTCCCGACATCACATTGTTAAACGAACTTAAAACAAACAAAAAATAATAATTATTGTACAATTACAATATATTAAAGGTGAGAAAATTTTACTACCAAGTAGGGCTGGGTGATATGGCCTAAAATTAATATCACGATATATTGAGAATTTCACCTCGATAACGATAAATGGACAATAACTACAGGTATGTGAGGAAACAAAAGTTGTCCACTAGATGGGGCTGTCACGTGTATTACGATGAGTCACATTTTTACATGACTCAAGGTGGTGCAGCTTCTTAAAAGGACATGAACGTTGCCAACCTACACCCATCTTTTCATTTTTTTATTATCAAGTTTATTGACGGGGGAAAATTATCTTGATAAGAGTCAGAAATTTCGATAACGGTAAATTTTGGATTTATCGCCGAGCCCTACTACCAAGTCAGAAGAACTTTCTACCAAACAAACTTATTTTACTACCTTTTAAGGGACTTAATTTGAGCTGAACTCATTTCCTACCTCTTACCACGGCGTGGAAACCCTGGAGAGGGGCTTAAGGTGCAACACATTTTTCTGCCTCTGAGAAAAAACTCCAGACTTCTGCTTTAAAGTCACAACTTGTAAGTAAACATGTTCCATTAATTTAATCAGTTGATACTATTGTCATGAATTAATTTGGTAAAGTTTAGTTTGAAGGCGGAAAATCTACATGATCACATACAGGGAGTGAGTGTTAGTCATGTTCAGTATGATGGGAGGCGATGACATGCTAGATAAATAAATGCATAAAATTAAAGACAAACATGAAATAAAGATGTATGCACTAGTGAGCGTTTATTGAAATATGATCACGCTTGATGGTTCAAACATACTGTAAACTAGAGGTCAATTGGGTTATTCATTAAAAATCAGTGAGCGGCAAACTCATCTAATCAGAACTTAATATAATTTCACAATAAATCAAGTGTGAGCTGATTATAAGCGTCTAGAAGATTTTAGCTGTTTTATTCACAGCTGAATATTAAGCCTTGCGGTGCTGAATAAAGCCCCCATGAAAATCATCGTCTTTTATTTATGCAGCATTACAGCGGCGTTACCGCAACCAGCGATGAAAGACAGATTACTGTCTTCTGGGTGCCACGGTGTAATAACACTAAGGTCACGTTTCACTATGGCTAAATATGTGATTGATTTTCAGTTTGTGCATGTTTTTGGCAAACAAAATCAAACAAACTTTTATTGTCCTCAGGTACATTTGATCCATCCACATATTTCAGTTTTAAGTTCCATGCAGCTAAAAAAGAAAACGTGAGGAAAAACATTTTAAAAGTATGCAAAACAAAAGCAGTCACACCAAATTCTAAGCAAGCACCTTACCATATCGTCAGCCAATGTTTTTATGTGTATGTTCTGTTGGAGGGAGGGCACAGTGTGAAAAACAATATCCTACAGAAAACAGCACGGCTCACCTGAAGCGTTTTCACATGCACTGTTGAAATTAAACTATTTGTCATAAATTCACAACAGGGAGCTGTGGATCTATGACTACTTTATCTCTTATTTAAATGTAATATAGTCCAGCAAAATCTAAGGTTTGTACAGGTGAATATGTGAGCACTTGATGATTTCAAATAATAAAGAACATGTTAATAAATGTGTGTTGGCTGGACTGTGGACACATTTAAAACAGGCATAACAGACAAATACATAAATCCCAAACATAGATGCCACTCCTATGCTTTTCACAGGCACACCTGTTTATTGCCTGCAAACATGCAAGTTAGTTCTGCTCGAGTAAAGATGGATGCGGTCCAAAAATGTGGCACACACTCTCAAGGCTCAAAAAAAGATGTTTGAGCGCTGTATTGGTGGTTCTAAAGAGCGTCTCTCGTCTTGACAGGGACCAAAAACTCCATAAACACCACAACTTTGGCTAAGACAGATGTTTATCTTCTTCTGAGACACAATAAGAAAGGCGGCTGCCACAGGGTTGTGGCTCAGCAAGGGACGGCCGTTTGAAACACACCTCAAATGGGAATCGGTAACAACCTCGCCATATGTTTTGGTGCGAGGCTGTAAAGCACTAATGAGTCGGGAGATGTGTGGTTGTGATGGTCATAAAGCCTGCCTCCAGCCGTGGAATTCTCCACTATTCTAATCAGGAAACTACCGATACTGGGGCGAGCAAACAAATTAGCTTTAACCTGCACCTCCCTCTGTGCATCTCCATCAGCTGTCGCTCTGGGCAACGTGGTGCAGAGACACAAACTCCCACATCTGTCACTGCTTTTGTCAGTGACAACTGATCAACAGTTGGGAGATGAAGCTATAAATTGCAAGGAAGTGTCAGCCTTATGCAGGTTTCATATGTTCCCCTGCTTTTTTATTTCAAGTCAAGATATTAGACAAGTCACATTGTTTGAGTATCACGCCAAGAGGACTCTGCCTGGCAGGTAATTGCTTCATCATCCCTTTGTGGCTAGGTAACCACATGAGCCTGACTGACTCAGACATCAGTTCCACTCAGACACAATTAGAAGCATTTAATACCGTTGCATCACTACTCGCAACATCTGTAAAGCTAATAATTTGACCTGAACAACAACTTTTCCCATTACTAACTCGGAGCGTATGTATCATTAAGCCCAGCGTTCTCTAGCAGTCGAAAACTGCGTGAAACAATAGCTAATTTACAGATAGAGTACTTAAACATTTTCTAATCAATTTAACAACAATCAAACCACTGTTTGGTTAATTGCCTTGACTTGAGGGCCTTTCTTTGCCCATTATCTTGGCAACATCGCAACATTGCAATTAAACACCTAACAATTAAGCTTGCATGTCCTCCGGGCTTCTGCTGCTTATTAAAGTAAACTTTTTTCATCATAATAAATGTTTATTACCAAACACATATTTCTCTAAATAACCTAATCAAATTAGCTCTGGGTCCCTCCTTAATCAAATGCGATCATGACTCCGTGCAGATCCTCAAAAATGAAAACACAAAGCAATATTCCAAAACTTGAAAGCCAATTTGGGCACACAGAACCATACCAGTGTACATATTTCACCCAGTAACTTCTAAAATTAATATAGCAACCTTCAATGAACATGAAACATATCCTTGTTTTATCGAGAAACCTTATCAGGTGGCGCGTGAAATAATATGTCTTCTGAGATGGACAGAAGATAACTTTCTTTTTCCAGACTGACTATAATTCCACGGCTTTAAAAAAGCACCACAACTAATTTAAGGGGAGCATCTGTGTGGAGGCTTTTTAACTCACTCACTGGAACTATCTTGATAAAATCAGAGGCCACAATGCCTTTGCAAAACGAGTTGAGAAGGAAATTAGGTTTGGCTTTAATTAGTTCTAATAATACTGGAGGATTACTTAGAGTTAACCGTGGCTGGCTGTGAGGACGGCAATCTAGCTGAAAGTTTTGGGCAACTTTACCTAACCACACTCGGAATTCTGTAACAGAATGTCAGGAATTTTAAACTCTCGGGATGTAACAAAGAAAGTCATACATGACTGGATTGGGAAAGTCTGAATGAATAGTAAACTTAAAATATTTGGGAAAAGTCTAAACATTGAGGGAATCAGTCCTATCCAGCTAAATAAATAAATATTACCATTAGATGTAAAAACATTTAAATGGCTTTTGAAAAATTTTCCACCCTAGATTGAAAATGCCCAATCCTATTAATTTTTTTTCCTTTCCTTTTTACACTTTTCAGTGGAAATAAGAAAAGATGAGTGAAAAGAAGAGCTGTTACAGCTGCTGCTTTGACCCATGAGTATCACCAGAAATACATCATAACTAACACAGAGTGACTGTTATTATAGACTGAAGTATACATCCAGGTAATTTGGATGACAATGTCTCCCAAATACATTATATGGTT